GGCGGCCCAGACTCCGTCTCTGGATCCTCCTCCGAGCCCGACGAGTTCCAACTCTGATTATCCGACATGGAGGCGCGACAGCCGAGCAGGAGACCGGCCCCCGCTCCCTCAGCTGCGCCGGAGGAGGCGCCCAGTCCTCGGGGTGAAGGGTCGGGGATGGCGAAGCGAAGAGTGCCCGTTCCGGTATGGGGGGAAGCAGGAGGAGGAACGGAGTCCGCCCGCCGCGCCGCCGCCGCGCCTGACACCGAGCGGAGCGGGGAAGGAGGACAAGTGGTAAAGGAAGTCTACCCTTCCAGCCGTCAGCCGCCGTCGCCGTGACCCCTGCGTTGCGCCCGGCGCCGCCACCTGAACTTAGCCCCCTCGATGCCAATTCCAAACAGGGAAGGAAAAGGGAGAAGAAGGGAAGAGAAAATCCGGCCGCCGGACCCGGGTCCACTCACACCTCCGCTACAGCCGCCATCTTCCTGCCTGGCCCACTATTTACCCTCCCCTCCCCTGTCCTTTCCCCTCCTCTACGTCCTCCCATTCTCCCTCCTACTCTCCGCCCCGTTTCCCTCCCGGCGTCTGACGCAACACGCCGAGCGTTCGGAATCCTCCTCCAGCACCCTACCTCCGGCTCTCCTGGGTGACGTCAAGTATTAAAGTAGGAGGAGCGGCGCAAGGAGAGGGCGGGAGAGGGGCGCCACTCTGTTGAATTCTGGGAAGGGCGCTGGTCTGTCGATCGCGCAGCCTCCTGGGAGTTGTAGTTGCGATCTTGAGGTAACGGGTGAGTATCCCGCGCGGGCATCGCTTGTTGTCTTGGGGACTTGTCAGTCGGTGGGTGGGCTTCGTTTGACAGTTGCGTGACTTGCCCCTCGGCCTCGTTTCTCTCCTTACCTTGTGTGTTTATGACAAACTCTACGGGCTTGCGGGCCCGGACGCAAGAGAACTTTCCGCTGAGGATGACGGGCCTGCTTTCTTGGGCGGCTTTTCGAAAGCTCGGGAGCATCTGGCCGCTTCCGCTTCAACCACGAGCTGAGGGTTTTCTTTCCGCCTAGCTGTAAATCTTAAGGGTCTTGCTAATTATAAGTTCGACTTCACGTTTGACATTTACCGCATTTAAAGGCAGAATTTCCTCACTCCCTTCTCGCAAGCACGCACTTCGCATTTTTTGATTTCTAGAGTTTTCTTTGTGGAAAGTAATTTTGAGGTTGTCAGATAATAAATGACGTTAGAAGAGTTGTTAAAGTGAGTGGCTAGGACTATAGGCACACACCACTAAGCCCAGCTAGCCCAGGTATTGCTGTGTTGCCCAGGCTGGTCTCAAACTCTTGGCCTCAAACATTCCTTCCACCTGACCTCTCAAAGTGCTGGGATTATAGGCATGAGATACCATGCCCTTCCACGAACAAGTCATTTGATTTGAACTTGCTTGAAATTAAAGCAAGCAATTAATTAATTTTTTGTATTGTTTCCCAGGTTCCTCTTGTTAATGATTTCTACTTTTATTCCATTGTGTTTACAAAAGATAATGTGATATGATTTCTACTTTTTTGACTTTGTTGAGACTTGTTTTGTGGCCAAGATGTGGTCTGTTCTGGAGAATGTTACATATGCTGATGAAAGGATTGTTCTGCAGCAGTTGGGTGAAATGTTCTTTAAATGTCAATTAGGCCTATTTGGTCTAGTTTAACCCCCCTGTTTTTTTGTTTATTTTCTGTCTGTATGATTTGTCCTTTACTGAGAGTAGGGTGTTGAATTCCCCTACTATTATTATGTTGCACTCTATCTCTCTCATTGTGTCCATCAATATTTGCTTTATATACCTGGGTATTCTGGTATTGGTGCTTAGATATTGTTAATTGTTATATTATTTTGCTGAATTGACTTGTTTATTCTAATATTGTGATATTCTTGGTCACTCTTTGGAGTCTTTGACTTACAGTAGTATTTTATCTGATATGATAGCTACTCCTGCTCTTTTCTGGTTTCTCCTTGCATGGAATATCTTTTTCTGTCCATTCACTTATAGTGTTACATGTGTCTCTATAGGTGAAGTGGATTTCTTGTGGGCATTGTATGGTTAGGTCCTGTTTCATTATCCAGTCAGCTACTCTGTCTAATTGGAGACTTGAGTTCATTCACATTTAGTGTTGTTATTGGTAAGTAAGAACTTATTATTGCCACTTCGTTGCTTGTTTTCTATTTTCCTTTCTATGTTCTTTTATGGTTAAGTGATTTTCTCTGACAGTATGTTTTCATTCATTGCTGTTATTTTTAGTGCCTCTATTACAGGTTTTTGCATTGTGGTTACCATGAGGTTTATTAAAAAGTTTTAGAGCTATGACAAGTTATTTTTAAACAATGACAACTTATCTTAGATAATTAAGAAAAAATAGAAACTAACAGAGAAAGAAACTTAAAAAAAAAAACTTCTACACTTTAACTCCATTCCTCCCAAAATTTTGACTTTTTATTTTCTCAATTTGTATATTTTTATATTGCCTATCTCTCAATAGTTTGCTATAGCTACTATGGTTTTTAACAAGTTTGTCTTTTAGACTTCATACTAGAGTTATGAGAGGACCAACAACAATTATAGTATTATAGTATTAGAGTATCCTGGGTTTATCTGTGTACTTACTTTTACCCATGGATTTTATTTATTTAATTTAATTTATTTTCGTTTTTAGAGACAGGGTCTTGTCCCATCACCCAGGCTGGAGTGCAGTGGCATAATCATAACTCACTGTAGCCTCAAACTCTTGGGCTCAAATGATTCTCCTCCCTTAGCCTCCCAAGTATCTGGGACTGCAGGCATTTGCCACCATGCTCAGCTAATTAAAAAAAAATTTTTTTTTTAGAAATAAGGTCTTACAATGTTGCCCAGGGTAGTCTTTAACTCCTGCACTCAAGCAGTCCTCCTTACTCAGCTTTCTAGGCAGCTGGTATTACAGGCATGAACCACAGTGCCTGTAATAGACTAGGAGTGGGTTTTACACCTTTAAGCGTTTTCTTTTTGCACACTTTTTTTTTCTTCTGAGACTGAAGAACTCCCTTTAGTATTTCTTGTAAAATGAGTCTGGTGATGGTGAATTTTTTCAGCGACTGTTTGTGTGGGAGAGACTTTATCTTTCCTTCCTAGTTGAAGGATAGCTTTGCTGAATAAAATATTCTTGAATGGCAGGTTTTTTTTTTCTTTCAGGGCTTTGAAAATGTCATCACACTCTCTCCTGACTTATTTGGTTCCCACTGAGGAGTCTGTTGCCAAACAAATTGAAGCTCCTTTATATGTTATTTTCTTCTTTTATCTTGCTGCTGATAAGATCCTCTCTTTATCCTTGACATTTGAGAGTTTGATTATTATATGCGTTGGGGTAGTTTTATTTAGGTCCAATCTGTTTGGTGTTCTCTGGCCTTCTTGTACCTGAATATTGACATTTTTCTTAGATCTTGGAAAGTTTTATTTCTTTGAATAAGCTTTTTACCCCTGTTCTTGCTCAGATCCTTGAATAGCAGTAATTCTTAGATTTGGTCTTTTGAGGTGATTTTCTATATGTTCTAGGGAATCTTCATTCCTTTTTATTCATTTTTTTCTTCCTCTATGTTTTAAAATAGCCTGTCTTCTAACTCACAGATTGCTTTTTCTGCTTGGTCCACTATGCTGTTGAGAGCCTCTTCGTTCAGCATATTTCTCAGTTCCATCAAGATTGGTTTGATTTTTTTTATTGTTTCAAACTCTTTGTTAATTTTCTCTGATTTTTTTTGGTGTTATTTTGGATGTCACCAAGTTTCCGTAAAATCACTATTTTGTATTTGTGGTCCAAAAACTCACATATCACTGTCTCATTAGGATTAGTCACTGGTTCCTTACTTTTTCCATTTGGGGAGATTGTGGTTTCCTATTTGCTGTTGTTTCTTTTGGATGTATATGTATCTTTGCATTGAAACATTACTTATTCATTTTAGTCTTCTCTGACTAGTTTGGTTTTATTGGACATATTTGCTTAGAGATTCTTTGTAATTTACCTGTTGAATTTTTTTTTTTTTTCTGCTAGGTCACTGCCTCTTTTTTGTTACCAAATGAAGGCTTAATTCCAGGATTGCCTCTGGAAAAGTAAAGGATCAGACTGTTGCCTGTTAGGAATTGAGGAGGTCCCAAAGGAGATATCCCAGTAGTGTAGAAAGGTTGGCTAAGGGTTTGTGCTCAGGGCACCCGTGGAACATACTTCCTACCTAATGGTCCTGCTGAACAAGTACTCTGATTTGGTGTCTTCTTTGACTAAGTTAAAGAGCAGAGTTTCCAAGACTGAGAATGGTAGTCCTGACTTTCCCCGTTGTCTTGGAGTATCATCAAGGCAGGTTGTGGGGAGGAGTGTCATAGATATTGAATTCTGATTTGTTTTCTGTCTGCCTGGAGTTTTTTTTTTTTTCTTGTGTCCCTGGGAACAATTTCATCTACATATTTGAGTTCTGTGATATTACTGGCAAGAATCTTAGCACCATATATTTGTTTTTGGTTTTCTGTAGTGGGAGAATGAAGCCAGCTTGCTTCTACTTACCATTTTGGAACCCAAAACTGGTTTCAGAACTCTTAATGGTGTTAATGAAAGCCACTAAAAAGAAGACTGCAAAAATGGGGCTTCTATAGTTGTTCTGCTTTTAAAGATGTTATACTGTGGAAAACACAATATGAAAGCTATAGTATGATATAAAATGATTTCTTTTCCTACTGGATCATGTTTTTAGGTGATTCCATTTTATTTTTTAATTATTATATTTTTAGCATATCTTCTAAGAAATAATTGATGAGTAATGTTTAAATAAATCCCAGGATGATGAAATACTAAAACATAGAGTATAGGGAAAATAGGATCCCTAAGATTCTATTATGCATCTTAAATTTATAAAGGGGATTAATAAATTCATATAGTAATTGTAGGATAGAAAGAATTTTATTCTGTTAAATGAATTCCTTTTTTGTTCCTTGGAAGACTTCTAAGAAAATAAGATATGAAATATTAATGTTTACAAATAAAGTTGCTCAAAGAAAAACCTCAAAAGTAAAAGACCCTGGTGGTATATGAGGGCTAATGCAACTACATTCTTCAATTTTATTTTTATTTTACAGCCAAACCAGAGCTGGTTTATATTTCCTTCTTCTAGCTCAGGGTTAGCTATTCTAATTCATTCCAAAATAAGAATATTTGGCCTGAATAAGACACTCTTTAACTTAAAGGTCAAAGCACGTCTTTATTTTTATTCCTTTTTAAAAAAAATTTCATTATTTTTATTATATATATATACTATTGAATTTTAGGTTCTGGGGTACATGTGCAGAACATGCAGGATTGTAGCATGGGTACCTACATGGCAATGTGGTTTGCTGCGTCCATCCTCCCATCACCTATTTCTGGCATTTCTCCCCATGTTATCCCTCCCCAACTTTACTACCCCCTGCTGTCCCTCCCCTATTCCCCCGCAACAGACCCCAGTGTATGATGCTCCCCTCCCTGTGTCCATGTGTTCTCATTGATCAACACCACCTATGAGTGGGAACATGCAGTGTCTGATTTTCTGTTTTTGTATCAGTTTGCTGAAAATGATGGTCTCCAGATTCATCCATGTCCCTACAAACAACATGAACTCATCGTTTTTTATGGCTGCATAGTATTCCATGGTGTGTCTGTGCCACATTTTCCCTGTCCAGTCTATCATCAGTGGGCATTTGGGTTGGTTCCAAGTATTTGCTATTGTAAACAGTGCAGCAGTGAACATACATGTGCATGTGTCTTTATAACAGAACAATTTATAATCCTTTGGATATATACAAAGTAATGGTATTGCTGGGTCAAATGGAATTTGTATTTCTAGGTCCTTGAGAAATCGCCACACTGTCTTCCACAATGATTGAACTAACTTACACTCCTACCAACAGGGTAAAAGTGTTCTTATTTCTCCACATCCTCTCCAGCTTCTGTTGTCTCCAGATTTCTTAATGATTGGCATTATAACAGGCATGAGATGGTATCTCAATGTGGTTTTGATTTGCATTTCTCTAATGACCAGTGATGATGAGCATTTTTTCATATGTTTGTTGGTGTCATATACGTCTTCTTTTGAAAAGTGTCTGTTCATATCCTTCGCCCACTTTTGAATGGGTTTGTTTTTTTCTTATAAATCTGTTTTAGTTCTTTGTAGGTTCTGGATATTAGCCCTTTGTCAGATGGGTAGATTGCAAACATTTTTTTTCCAGTCTGTTGGTTGCCAGTTCACTCTAATGGTTGTTTCTATTGCTGAGAAGCTCTGGAGTTTAATTATATCCCACTTGTCTATTTTTGGCTTTTGTTGCCAGAGCTTTTGGTGTTTTAGTCATGAAGTCCTTGCCTATGCCTATGTCCTGAATGGTTTTGCCTAGGTTTTCTTCTAGGATTTTATGGTGTTAGGTCTTATGTTTAAGTCTTTAATCCATCTGGAGTTAATTTTAGTGTAAGAGGTCAGGAAGGGGTCCAGTTTCTTCTTTCTGTACATGGCTAACCATTTATGAAACAGGGAATCCTTTTATGAAACACCATTTATGAAACAGGGAATCCTTTCCCCACTGCTGCTTTTTGTCAGGTTTGTCAAAGATCAGATGGTTGCAGATGTGGGGTGTTGCCTCCAAGGCCTTTGTTCTGTTCCACTGCTCTATATCTTTATTATGGTACCAGTACCATGCTGTTTTGATTACTGTAGACTTGTAGTATAGTTTGAAGTCAGGTAGCGTGATGGCTCCAGCTTTGTTCTTTCTGCTTAGAATTGTCTTGACTATGTGGGCTCTGTTTTCATTCCATATGAAGTTTAAGGTGGTTTTTTTCCAATTCTGTGAAGAGGGTAATAGGTAACTTGATGGGATAGCATTGAATCTATAAATTACTTTAGTCAGTATGGCCATTTTCACAATATTGATTCTTCCTAGCCATGAGCATGGAATGTTTTTCCATCTGTTTATATCCTCTCTTATTTCCTAGCAGTGGTTTGTAGTTCTGCTGGAAGAGGTCCTTTACATCCTTTGTTAGTTGTATTCCTAGGTATTTTATTCTCCTTGTAGCAATTGTGAATGGTAGTTTGTTCTTGATTTGGCTTTCTTTAAGTCTGTTATTGGTTTATAGGAATGCTTGTGATTTCTGCACATTGATTTTGTATCCTGAGACTTTGGTGAAGTTGCTTATCCGTTTCAGGAGATTTTGGGCTGAGACAGTGGGGTCTTCTAAATATACAATCATGTCTACTGAAAATAGAGACCATTCAACTTCCTGCTTTCCAAATGGATACCCTTTATTTCTTTTTCTTGCCTGATTGCTCTGGCTAGAACTTCCAATACTATATTGAATAGGAGTGGTGACAGAGGGCATCCTTGTCTAGTGCCAGATTTCAAAGGGATGCTTCCAGTTTTTGCCCATTCAGTATGATATTGGCTGTAGGTTTGTCATAAATAGCTTTTATTATTTTGAGATACGTTCTGTCAATACCTAATTTATTGAGAGTTTTTAGGATAAAGGGCTATTGAATTTTGTCGAAGGCCTTCTCTGCATCTATTGAGATAATCATGTGGTTTTGTCTTTGGTTCTGTTTATGTGGTGAATTATGTTTATAGACTTGCTTATATTGAACCAGCTTTGCATCCCCAGGATGAAGCCTAATTGATCGTGATGGATAAGCTTTTTGATGTGCTGTTGCAATTAGTGTGCCAGTATTTTATTGAAGATTTTTGCGTCTATGTTCATCATGGATATTGGCCTGAAGTTTTTTTTTTTGTTGTTGAGTCTGCCTGGTTTTGGTATCAGGATGATGCTGGTCTCATAAAATGATTTGGGAAGGATTCCCTCTTTTGGATTGTTTGGAATAGTTTCATAAGGAGTGATACCAGCTCCTCTTTGTATGTCTGGTAGAATTCAGCTGTGAACCCATCTGGACCTGGGCTTTTTTTGATTGGTAGGCTTTTTTTTTAATTGCTGCCTCAACTTCAGCCCTTGTTATTGGTCTATTCATGGTTTCGACTTCTTCCTGTTTTGGGCTTGGGAGGATGCAAGTGTCCAGGAATTTATTAATTTCTTCCAGGTTTATTGGTTTACTGGTGTGTGTGCAGAATTGTTTGTAGTAATCTCTGATGATAGTTTGTAGTTCTGTGGAATTGGTGGTGATATCCCCTTTATCATTTTTTATTGCATCTATTTGATTCTTCTCTTTTTTCTTTTTTATTAATCTGGCTAGTGGTCTGTCTGTTTTGTTGATCTTTTAAAAAAAAACAGCTCCTAGATTTATTGATTTTTTTTTTTGAAGGTTTTTTTTGTGTCTCTGTCTCCTTCAGTTCTGCTCTAATCTTAGTTATTTCTTCTCTTCTGCTAGCTTTTGAGTTTTTTCATCTTGCTCCTCTAGCTCTTTCAATTTTGGTGATAGGGTGTCGATTTTAGATCTTTCCTTGCTTCTCATGTGGACATTTATTGCTATAAATTTTCCTCTGCTTTAAATGTGTCCCAAAGATTCTGGTACATTGTGTCTTTGTTCTCGTTGGTTTTGAAGAACATCTTTATTTCTGCTTTCATTTCATTGTTCATCCAGTTAACATTTAAAATCCAGTTGTTCAGTTTCCATGAAGTTGTGCAGTTCTGAGTTAGTTTCTTAATCGTGAGGTCTAATTTGATTGCACTGTTTGTTATGATTTCTGTTCTTTTGCATTTGCTGAGGAGTGATTTACTTCCAGTTATGTGGTCAATTTTAGAGTAGTGATGTGGTGCTGAGAAGAATGTATATTCTGTGGATTTGGGGTGGAGAGTTCTGTAGGTGTCAATTAGGTTTGCTTGGTCCAGATCTGAGTACAAGTCCTGGATATCCTTGTTAATTTTCTGTCTCGGTGATCTGTCTAATATTCACAGTGGAGTGTTAAAGTCTCCCACTGTTACTGTGTGAGGGTCTAAGTCTTTCTGTAGGTTGTTAAGAACTTGCTTTATGTATCTGGGTGCTCCTATATTGGGTGTGTATATATTTAGGATTCTTAGCTTTTCTTGGTGCATTGATCCTTTTACCATTATGTAATGCCCTTCTTTGTCTCTTTTGATCTTTGTTGGTTTAACATCTATTTTATCAGAGACTAGGATTGCAACCGCTGCTTTCTTTTGCTCTCTATTTGCTTGGTAAATCTTTCTCCATCCCTTTATTTTTAGTCTATGTGTGTCCTTGCATGTGAGATGGATTTCCTGGATACAGCGCACCAATGGGTTTTGACTTTTCATCCAATATTCTAGTCTGTGTCTTTTGATTGGGGCATTTAGCCAGTTTACATTTAAGGTGAATATTGTGGGAATTTGATCCTGCCATTTTGATGCTATCTGGTTGTTTTGCCCATTAGTTGACACAGTTTTCATTGTGTCAGTGCTCTTTACCATTTGTTATGTTTTTGGAGTGGCTGGTACTGGTTGTTCCTTTCTATGTTTAGTGCTTCTTTCAGGGGCTCTTGTAAGGCATGCCTGGTGGTGACAAAATCTCTCAGGAATTGCTTGTTCATGAAGGATTTCATTTCCCCTCTGCTTATGAAGCTTAGTTTGGCTGAATATGAAATTCTAGGTTGAAAGTTCTTTTTTTTAAGAATGTTAAATACTGCCCCTTACCCTCTTCTGGCTTGTAGGGTTTCTGCCGAGAGATCTGCTGTGAGTCTGATGGGCTTACCTTTGTGGGTAACTCGACCTTTCTCGCTGGCTGCCTGTAGCATTTCTTCCTTCATTTAAGCCCGGGTGAATCTGACAATTATGTGCTTTGGAGTTGCTCTTCTTGGGGAGTATCTTTGTGGTGTTCTCTGTATTTCCTGGACTTGAATATTGGCCTGCCTTGCTAGGTTGGAGAAGTTCTGGATAATATCCTGAAGAGTGTTTTCCAGCTTGGATTCATTTTCTCCATCACATTCAGGTACACCTATCAAACATAGATTAGGTCTTTTCACATAATCCCATATTTCTTGGAGGCTTTGTTCATTTCTTTTCATTCTTTTTTCTCTAATCTTGCCTTCTCTTTTATTTCATTGAGTTGATCTTCAATCTCTGATATCCTTTCTTCTACTTGGTCGATTTAGCTACTGAAACTTGTGTATGCTTCACATAGTTCTTGTGTGGTGTTTTTCAGCTCCATTAATTCATTTGTATTCTTCTCTAAGCCGTTTATTCTTGCTACCATTTTGTCAAACCTTTTTTCAAGGTTCTTAGTTTTGTAGCATTGGGTTAGAACATGTTTTTTTTTTAGCTCAGAGAAGTTTGTTATTACCCACCTTCTAAAACCTGTTTTTGTTAATTCATCAGACTCATTCTCCATCCAGCTTTGTTCCCTTGCTGGTGTGGAGTTGTGATCCCTTGGAGGAGGAGAGGTGTTCTTGTTTTGGGAGTTTTCATCTTTTTTGTGCTGGTTTCTTCCCATCTTTGTGGATTTATCTACCTGTGGTCTTTGTAGTCAGTGACTTTTGGATGGGGTCTCTGATTGGATGTCCTTTTTGTTGATGATGAAGTTATTTCTTTCTGTTTTTTAGTTTTCCTTCTAACAGTCAGGCCCCTCTGCTGTAGGACTGCTGGAGTTCCACTCCTGACCCTGCTTGCCTGGGGATCACCTGCGATGGCTCCAGAACAGTAAGGGTTTCTGCCAGTTTCTTCTTCTGTTATCTTCGTCCCAGATGGATAACCACCAGATGTCAGCCTGAGCTCTCCTTTATGTGGCGTCTCTTTGGATATACAGGGGTCAGGGAGCTGCTTGAGGAGTCTGACCCTTATAGGAGCTCAAGTGCTGAGCTGAGCTCTTTTGTTTCTTTCAGAGCTGCTGGGCAGGTACGTTTAAATCTGCTGCAGTAGAACTCATAACTGCCTTTTTCTCTGGTGCTCTGTCCTGAGAAGGTGGGGTTTTATTTATAAGTTCCTGATGTGCTGCTGCCTTTTTTCATAGATGCCCTGCCCAACGAGGAGGTAACCTAGTCACAGTCTGCCAGCAGAGGCATTGCTGAACTTCCACGGGCTCTGCCCAGCTGCTGTGTCAACTTCCTTGCCGTTTTGTTTATAGAGGTATAGTTAGAACTGCCTCAGTAATGGCGGTTTGCCTCAGTAATGGCGGACTGCTTCTGTAATTGCAGACTGCCTCAGTAATGGCTGATTGCCTCGGTAATGGCAGACTGCCTCAGTAATGGCAGACACCCTTCCCCCACAGACCTGGACCATCCCAGGTCCAGCTGCACTTGCTATGAAACTTTCAATCCAGAGTATTTCAGATTGCTGGTCTTTGTGGGGGTGGAACCCGCTGAGCAAGATCACCTGGCTCCCTGTTTCAGCCCCCTTTTTTTCAGTTGAATGGGTGGCTGTGTCTCCCATACATTTCAGATGCCAGCTGAAATGGCCGCCCAGATTTATGTGAGTTTTTGTGCGGAAACCTGCTGCACCATATGAAACAGCTGTGCTGGAAACTCGTGGTGTTTTTCAACCCAGGAATCTCCTGGTCTGAGGGCAGTAATAACTCGTTTGGAAATGCGGTGATCACTCACCTTCTGCATTGTTCTCACTGGGAACTGTACTCCAGAGCTGTTCCTATTCGGCCATCTTGGATCTCCCCGAATCCAAAGTACATCTTAATATACTACAAGTTGATTTATCTTTGTCCAATCTAGTAAAATTTTTTGCATTACAAATAGAAATTTGTATATATGATGTATTTAATAAATACTTGTCCATTGGGATATCTGAAAGTCATTTTCTTAGAAATATCTAAAGTATTAAAATCATTTTTCAGGTTTCCACATAAGAAAGGTATGTCTGTCATGTAGATTGCACTGTAGAAATTGTTGGTAGTAGAACCATCCTGTGTAAATTGCAATCTAAGATAATTATCAAGGACCAAAGTAAAGTCAAGGGGATCAATGTCTAATAGGCAGTAATACTGACCTTAGCCCTCAGGCAGATATGTGAAAAGATGTGTAAAGAAATACCTGTAAACTCCAGAGACAAAGGCTTTCTGCAAAGGCCTTTGCTTCCTTCTAGGGATTATTGCTAGTTTTGTTGTGGAATGAGAATCCAAAAGTTAAACAGATACATGATTTAAGCAGTAAGTGTTGTAGGTTATGTTCTTGAAAGAAGGCCTGAGAATTTAAGCCTTTTTTTTTTTTTCACTAGGGAGTGTTTTTGAAAAATAGAAAACAATTTAAATATATGCATAATGAGAATGCTGGGGAGGTGAGGAGGGCATCTTTGCTGCATGTCAGAGACAGATTAAACTTTCAGATTGTAGGCCGGGCCGAGTGGCTGAAGCCTGGAATCCCTTTGGGAGGCTGAGGTGGGGGGCAGATCACCTGAGGTCAGGAGTTCGAGATCAGCTTAGACAACATGGTGAAAACCCGTCTCTACTAAAAATACAAAAATTAGCTGGGTGTGGTGGCAGGCACCTGTAATCCCAGCTACTCCGGAGGCTAAGGCAGGAGAATTGCTTGAACCCAAGAGGTGGACATTGCAGTGAGATGAGATTGAGCCACTGCACTCCAGCCGGGGTGACAAGAGTGAGACTTCATCTAAAAAAAAAGTGTTCAGGTTGTAAAAAGGGCAGATGAGAGGAAGCAGGAGTAGGAGGATGTGCTCATGGAGAATACAATAACCTGTTTTATCTTTGTATTTGAAGGCAGGGGTGGACAGTTCACTGAACAGGTTTAAATCTAGGAAATGAGTCAGTCCCAAGTGCCTCCCTTAAATACTTGAGGGTTTGAATGAGTGTGTTAACCCATCTGAAACCCATATAGGATTAAAATTTTAGAAGAGACTGGAGTTTAATTGACTGCTCTCTTCCCTTTGGATCTTGGAGAAAAGTCAGTGCTGTCAGCAAACATCTGTTTAAACATGTGGAATAGCCACACTGGGGAGCAAACGTTATTTTCGTACTTTAGGAATATGAATTAAATTATGTATAAGTTTATTTGCTTTTAAATTTTTGAGAAACTTTTACTTCCAGTATGGTGAAGTAAGCTCCTGCACATGGCTGAAAACCTAGAAAAAATACAAAAATCAATTACTTGAGGGGTCTGGGACGAGAAACAGATTTTAGAGGCTATCAAACTTGGACAAAATAGCCCTTAGAGAGTGAGAGGTGAGAGTTTTTTTTTTTTTTTTTTTTTGAGATGGAGTCTTGCTCTGTAGCCCAGGCTAGAGTGCAGTGGTGCAATCTCAGCTTACTGCAACCTCCACCTCCCCGATCCTGGTTCAAGCAATTCTGCTTCAGCCTCCCAAGTAGCCTGGATTATAGGCATGCGCCACCATGCCCAGCTAATTTTTGTGTTTTTAGTAGAGACAGGTTTCACCATTTTGGCCAGAATGGTCTTGAACTCCTGACCTGTGATCCACCTGCTGGGATTACAGGCGTGAGCCACTGCGCCAGACCAGGATTCTCATTCTTTGCAGCTTTGCCCTGAGGGCAGGAACAGTATGGCATAACTAATGTTCCATTAGAAAACTCACCATTATTCTGTTTAAAAGAACCAGGGGAAGAGGGCCAGAGCTACTGAAGAGTAGAGAAGGAACCCAGGAAAACAGAGATCCAGAGAGTGGAAATTCTAAATGCCATATAATAGCTTCACCTGACTCTCTGACTGGAATAGTGTACATGCATGCTTAGGGCAAATTGAAAGCAGTCTGAACTGACATCTGAGTCTCTCTCCCCTCACCAGACATTAGAGAATTTTCAGTTAGAGTTTATTTGCCTGCTAAAACCAAAATATTAACACTCGTCAGAAAGAGATAACAGAATCCAGAGTTTTCACAACATAGCATTTACAATATCCAGGATATAATCTAAAATTACTTGATATATGAGCCAGGAAAATGTGAACTATTTTCAGAGATAGCCCCAAGATGATCCAGATGTTGTAACTATCTGACAAAGACTTTAAAGCAACTATTAAAACTGTGCTTAACGAAGTAAAGAAATATGTTCATATCACTAAAAAGAAAGGAAATCCCAGCAATAAAGGAAAATGTAAAACAATCAGATGGAAGCTTTAGAACTAAGAAATACAATATCTGAAATCAAAATGATGTTACTAGATGGACTTAATTGCAGAATGGAAACGACATAGGGATTGGTGTATCAGTACCAAGATAGAGCAACACAAAATAACCAATATGAAGAAGAGTAAGGGAAAAGAGTAAAAAACTGAAAAGGAAACTCAGGTACTTGTGGAACAATTGTAAAGGAGAAATAACAGGAGTAACAGGTAATTGAACCTCCAAAAGGAGGTAAGAGAGAGATGGTCAGAAGAGGAAGAAATAATAATAATGGCCACAACTTTCTCAAAATAGGAAAACATACATAGAGGGAACAACAATTTAAGTGATCATGGCCTTAACAGAAATAATAGAGGCTAGAAAACAATGGAACAACATCTTTAAGGTATTGAAAGAAAAAAATTGTCAATTCAATTCTGTATCTGATGACAATATCGTCACTTGAGAATGAAGATAAAATTAAACTGGCATCTTAGGCGTAGTTATTTATTTGGCATACTGATCAAGAATGTGGGCTCTGGAGACAGAATCTAGATTTGAGTTTTAGCCTGGGTACCTCTTGTGATCGTGGGTGAATTACATAAATTCTCTAACCTCAATTTCCTTATGTATTTTATTAAAGATTCTTTATTGAAATATCTAAACTAATGAGTAATCATGAGTAGCAATGAGAGGATGCTTTTTGAGCACTTAGTATCTGCTTGGCGTATGGTAAATTGTTGGAAAATATTAGTTACTATTTATATATGCATGTTTTTAGCTTTTGTAGTAGATATGACCAATCTTTATAGAATTTCGTATTTTCCATTTTTATCTGTGTTTCGTTTTTGTTCAATTTTAGAGAGGTTGGCTCTATTTTGAAAAGGGAAGAGCGAGACTTTGTCTCTAAAAAAAGAAAAGGGAAGAAACCACTAACAGTATTGTAAAGAGAAATCACTTTTGCTACTGCTTTGACTTCAACAAAAACAAGATTTAGGAAGCTCTCATTTTCAGAAAAGGAAATGAGAGGGGAAATTTTTCTCTCTTAGAAAACAAAAAAACCTCAGCACCTAATTAATAAGACTTTATTACTATGTAAACTAAACTTGATCCAATCATCCTTTTGTTGATTTGGTGCCTTTTTGTTTGGCTCCTAATTTCTTTTTTAGAAATGTTTTTCATGGTATTTTGAAAGCATGATTTAAACAGTTGAAGATAAACTTCTGATTTAATGTGATTTTTTTCTTTTCTTTTCTTTTTTTTTTTTTTTTTTAGACGAAGTCTCCCTCAGTCAACCAGACTGAAGTGCAGTGGCACAGTCTTAGCTCACTGCAACCTCCTCTTCCCAGGATCAACTGATTCTCATGCCTCAGCCTCCTGAGTAGCTGGGATTACAGGTGTGCACCACCATACCTAGCTAATTTTTGTATTTTTAGTAGAGACGTATTTTGCCATGTTGACCAGGCTGGTCTTGAACTCCTGGCCTCAAGTGATCTCCCTGCCTCAGCCTCCCAAAGTGCTGGGGTTACGGGTGTGAGCCAACACACCTGGCCTAATGTGAATATTTTAAAACCTAAAACCATTTATTTTTCTTTGATGTAAAAGATAGAGGTATCTACAGTAGATAAAGAGAGTCAGCTAGGTTTGTTAAGTTAATCTCTCAGTCTGATTTGAGTTTTAATGTTCATAAACATAAACCATAAGATAACCCTTTTGATTTTGTTTCTGTATTTGATATGGATGGTGATGAAAGATATCATGTATTAAATTTGGCTTTTTAAATACATAATTCATGACATGAAAACATCTCCAAGGAG